AGTCAGGTTTTCTTTTGATGAGGTCTTTTCTTTTGATGATCTTTTTTCTTTTGATGAGTTTTTTCCTTTTGAAAGGTACAAGGGCTTTTATATCCACTAATCCATTGTTCTAAGATACCTTCCCACCAGGCTTCCTGATTGGCTAGTTGAGAAATGTGTGTACATAAGCTATTTCTCACCTGCCCGCCAGATGGCAGTCATGTATCACAGAACAATTTGAGTATTTGAGATGACTCATACCTTGGGTGGAATTTTAAGGTAATTTCAGGGATTAAATATACGGCTTTTTCCAGATATAGAAGTGATCATACCTATAATATTCTAAATAGGGACCATGGAATATAGGTGTATATTCAGTTATTCCTTCTTGAAATACCATCCTGTTTGTTTCCTGATAAGACATGTAACTAATGCTAGTTTATAATACATCTTACTTTCCATCATCTCAATACTCAAGTTAGTGATATATAGTTCCCATTGCTGAATATTTGGTGGTGTGTGAAACCTATTCTTTATAACATCTCTTTTATAACATGTTTTTTGTAGTATATCTTTGTAGTTAGATACATTCAATTTTTTTTTAGCTTTAAATGTCCTGAATTTAACTTCTTTGTTTTAGAACCAACATTTTCTATGTGTAGGGAAAAACTCTCTGTTTGCCTGGCTCTTGTATTGGAGTCACAGTAAACAACTCTTAATACTTTCACCCTTGGTGGACAATAGTATATTGTGATAGTTTCAGAGGTCTGTTGGTTTATCACACTCTGCAAGGTTTGGGTAAGCTCTCAGACAATCAGTTTGGTTCCTCTATTGTCATGTCCAGACCTTGTATATGTTTACCTGCTATTGAAGTCTGAATAATGGTGTTTGACCACCTGTAGAACTTCAAAATAGTATATTGTCCCTTCACCCATTACATTTCTCTAGCTAGATGGTCATTCGACTTTCCAACCAAGACAAATTAACCCTTAACATCCGGCTATGCTGACTTGATGTTATATAGGATTATGTCTTGATAAATCATGTTTTTGAGACATAATTTCAAAAGGTCCACAACAGGATGTAGCCATGACTGGGATTAGAACCCATGACCCAAGTGCTGTAAGTTCTGAGCTCTAACCACTAAACCACTGTGGAAGACACAGTTTGAGCTATAATGTAGAATAGTTACATTGTTTAAAAATGATAGAGCGAGCGCTGGTCAAATGATATAGACTAGTAAAATGGTATTACACAAGATAAATATAACCACGAACAGTAGTGCATGAACTCGTGAAAGGTCATCCACCCCTGTGACAGTGTACTACATTATTGAGCACCTTTCTGGCTCCTGTGGCTGAGCTAATTCCTCCCCAGGACCATTTGGGCACCCACCCTGATGGATGGATTGAGCTGGATGACTAACCCATAGCTGCCAGCATATCGCTGCACCCCCAGATGTGCGATGTGTATAACCCATGCACATTAATACTTTTGTTCTGGTGAGTGTAGACCAGTCCCAAGGGTGGTTTACCTTTCACGAGTTCATGCACTACTGTCCGTCACGGAGAGACCACACGTGCCATTCATAGGCACTCTCTGAGTTGGTACTCTCACACGAAGGACATTCCATTATTCAGGAATGATTCTATGAACTTATTTTAGCACCATTTACAATATTACATCATTGTTGCAATTCTTTGCACTTTTTGGTTTTTACATGCGTTCATTATTGATCACATGCATTTATAGCGCTGCACTTGTCTTTACCATAGAATAGTTACGTGATTAAAGAGAATGAAGATATATAACTATATTGGGAAATTAGAAGTATATAAATTATTTGAGATATAAGTGTGAAAATGTTTAACATTTGAATACAGAATGTATGACATTCATTAGTAAATGCATTAGTTTCCTGATCATTTTGGAGACACAGCAAAAAAAAGAAATAGAAGAAAATAGAAAATTCTAATACAGGTGTACTATTTATTACATTCTAAGGATTCTCTTTTGCCATCATCATAAAAACGCCAATGTTAATAAAGCCCGCGCTTGTGCGCCATCTAGCGAACATATCCGGTATTGCACCTAAACATGTGCCAGACGGGATACCACATTTAGTAATCGCAAAGTAGTCAGTAGACGCTCGTTAATGAGCTTGCTAGACGCTGGTCAGACGACTGATTGATTGACCGGAGTCTGCCTGAATGGTCAGTCTCTGCTGATAGACTCACATCTTAGTGAATCAGGGCCATAATGTCTTTTGACACACTGACTTATGAAGGTCGATGCTCAATGTGACTGTTTGCAGCCTTGTGCTGCAATCTTTTCAAGGGAGTAAATCGCAGTCCCAATTATTTGATTTCTGGACTTTTTCTGGGGCATTTGTAGCGTGTATGGCACACCGTTCAAGTGAATGGGCTGCCCTATACATGACAATTGAAAACACTCCAAAAACACCAAAACAAAAAAAACCGTGTGCAGGAATGCGAGTCTTCGCTACATGGAAATGTGACACTATGCAAATCGGACTGTACAATTTCCTTAAGATTTATGGAATAGGACGACACACCTTAATAATCCATTCAATTGGTATCAAATCAGACAGGCCCTTGTATTATATAGCTGATAGGAGGAAGGTAGCATTGTAATGAGGGAGGTGTGGTCCAGAGTGAACACACCCTCTTCTGTGATGCAAAAAGGAAGGGAAAACACTTCTACAGGTGAAACTTGAAAAATTAGAATATCGTGCAAAAGTTCATTTATTTCAGTAATGCAACTTAAAAGGTGAAACTAATATACGAGATAGACTCATTACATGCAAAGCAAGATAGTTCAAGCCGTGATTTGTCATCATTGTGATGATTATGGCTTACAGCTCATAAAAACCCCAAATCCACAATCTCAGAAAATGAGAATATTACATGCAATCAATAAAACAAGGATTGTACATAGAACAATATCGGACCTCTGCAAAGTATAAGCATGAATATGTACTCAGTACTTGGTTTGGGCCCCTTTTGCAGCAATTACTGCCTCAATGCGGCGTGGCATGGAAGCTATCAGCCTGTGGCACTACTGAGGTGTTATGGAAGACCAGGATGCTTCAATAGCGGCCTTCAGCTCTTCTGCATTGTTCGGTCTCATCTTTCTCTTGGCAATGCCGCATAGATTCTCTATGGGGTTCAGGTCAGGCAAGTTTACTGGCCAATCAAGCACAGTAATCCGACGGTCATTGAACCAGGTTTTGGTGCTTTTGGCAGTGTGGGCGGTGCCAAGTCCTGCTGGAAAATGAAGTCAGCATCCCCATAAAGTTCATCTGTGGAAGGAAGCATGAAGTGCTCCAAAATCTCCTGGTAGACGGCTGCATTGACCCTGGACTTAATGAAGCACAGTGGACCAACACCAGCAGATGACATGTCTCTCCAAATCAACACAGACTGTGGAAACTTCACACTGGACTTCAAGCATCTTGCAGTGTGTGCCTCTCCATTCTTCCTCCATACTCGGGGTCCTTGTGCCTCTCCATTCTTCCTCCATACTCGGGGTCCTTGTGCCTCTCCATTCTTCCTCCATACTCGGGGTCCTTGGTTTCCAAATGAGATGCAAAAGTTGCTCTCATCAGAAAAGAGGACTTTGGACCACTGAGCAACAGACCAGGTCTGTTTTTCTTTAGCCCAGGTAAGATGCTTCTGACGTTGTTTGTTGTTCAGGAGCGGCTTGACAAGAGGAATACGACATTTGAAGCCCATGTCCAGGATCCGTCTGTGGATGCACTGACTCCAGCCTCAGTCCACTCCTTGTGAAAGTCCAACACTTTTGAATGGCCTTTTTCTGACAATCCTCTCCAGGCTGCGGTCATCCCTGCTGCTTGTGCACCTTTTTCTTCCACACTTTTCCCTTCCACATAACTTTCTATCAATGTGCTTTGATACGGCACTTTGGGAACATCCAACTACTTTTGCAATTACCTTTTGAGGCTTTCCCTCCTTATGGAGGGTGTCAATGATGGTTTTCTGCACAACTGTCAGGTCAGCAGTCTTTCCCATGATTGTGATTCCTACTGAACCAGACTGAGAAACCATTTAAAGGCTCAGGAACCCTTTGCAGGTGTTATGGCTTAATTAGCTAACTAGAGTGGGACACTTTCAGCAGAGAATATTGCAACTTTTCACAATATTCTCATTTTCTGAGATTGTGGATTTGGGGTTTTCATGAGCTGTAAGCCATAATCATCACAATTATGACAAATCACGGCTTGAACTATCTTGCTTTGCATGTAATGAGTCTCTCATATATTAGTTTCACCTTTTAAGTTGCATTACTGAAATAAATGAACTTTTGCACGATATTCTAATTTTTTAAGTTTCACCTGTATTTATTATGAAAACTAAAATTCCGCCTGAAAAAAGGTGCACAGTTGCTTGGAGCCGAGAGCAGCTCCTTCCCTGGCCTGCATTCATAGTGGTGGACACAGGATTGTTTTTCCCTTGTAGCCTGAACAGCACACATTTCCCATTACTGGTTCACATCATTCACCTCTAATGCATAAAAGGACACTTCTATGGTATTTCAGATAAACAAAACACAGCAGCACCATGGAAACAAACCATTTACTTCATTTTATTTAAAAAAAAAAAAAAAACAAACTACTTAAATTCAGTATCAGCAAAGCTTGTTGCATATTCAAACATCAATGAAAAAAAGAATGGCATGTTTATACAAAGATGTACCTGGCAAGAGATAAAGCTTAATATTTGTGGAACACATCCCATAGTGATTGTGGGCAATTTGTAAATATTACAAATCAATCCATCTACATTGCAGGCTGGACTAGAAACAAGGGGGGTGGTGATATTTTCCAGTAGATCCTGTTAATCATCCTTCAGAGGGTCTGGCGTTCATGGATAATATTGCTCTGGATAAGCAGACAACCTGGTTTGGCCAACGTGCAGCAAATTAGGAGGATGCAGCATATAGGAGACAGGAAATATGTTGCTTTGTTCAAATATTGAAAATTATTCTGCTCCTTTAAGTCCAAATGGATAATGTTGTGGATACTCATGAATTATCTTCAGTGCTTCATCATAAAGCCCCAGATCTGGAGGAGAAATGCAGACAAGAGATTGACAAAATCTCACTCATCACATCTACTGTATATAAAAACTTGTATAACTCATTTTTAGAATACATGGCTGAGCTTTCTTGTCAGACCTTTCAATGTCCCCCGTTTCAGGGGAGGTACTGGGGCCCAAGCTGCCATCGGTCGGGTGTGTGAGGTACTCTCCCTTGGCCTTCATAGAAAGCAAAGGTGCCATTCTGCAAGATGAGCAGACCACAAGAAGCAGCCAGTCTGTGGCTTTCCATACCATACAAAGGTATTTTTGTTCATTTACTTCCAGCCTTGTAACAGTATGGTGAGGACCCCTTTCTGTTCCAGCATGACTGTACCCATGTTTACAAAACCATCTCCAGAGACCTGGTTTGAGGGGCTTAGTGTGGAGGAACACAAGCTGCCTGCACAGAGCCCCAATCTCAACTGTACTGAACACATTTAGGAAGAACTGAAATAGTGATTGTGGGGCAGATCTGCTCATGTATCAGTGCCCATTAATCCAAAAACCACGTGGTATGCCTTCTTAGAATCATGGGGGGGGAACCCACACACAAACAAGAATGACTACCTCCATATGAACAGCTACTGTTGTGAAATGATCCCCTATAGATAGGATAGTCCGGCACCCAAACATTTGGCATATGGATGAGGTACACTAGTCATTCCTGTAAAACCCAAAAGGTGATATTAGCACTCACTACTGCAGCTAAGTTATTGCCCCCCACCTACAGACACTTCCAGGGCAAACCCTTGCAATGTAATAGGTCACAGGATAACCTCCCTCCTTCGCTGTCAAAACTCTAGCCTCACAGTGCCCAAAACACAGTAAAGAACCCGTCAGAGGTACCACTTGTTTTTTAACGTGCAGGTAAAGATTTACATCCTCACTTAAGCAGTAACTCGCTAATACGCGCCAAATACAGACCTTTGCTCGCTTGTATTTGGCCCTCGGAGCATTATTCCCTCCACTATCAGCAGGTGTGGCATAATTTCTCCCACTGACCAACAATGGGGCAGGGTTTACTCCCACTGACACCTAGATATTTTCTGCTCCCAGTGGCCACAGCCTGCACCCCCCCCCCCCCCCCCCCCCCCCCAAAGTTTGAAGGACAGTAAACTGGCCCTTTTTAGAAAGGCTGGAGAGCCCTGCTTTATGAAACCCTGGAATGTCTATGTCCTGTCATGCTTACATCCGATGAGCAGGGAAGACCATTCACAAACTGCAGTGTTACAGCTTCTACAGCAGCCACAATTCAGTGTGCGGAATAGGCCGAGGCTTTATACCTTTACCATTCCAAAACAGGAAACAGATATTTTGGAAGAGGATTTCTACAGTCACGGCCAAAACTATTGGCACCCCTGCATTTCTGTCAGATTTACTACTTTATCTGACAGAAAATTGTTGCAATTACAAATGTTTGGGCATGCTCATGTTTTTCTTTTGTTTGTATTGGTCTGAAACCAAAAAAAACAAAAAGGGGGGGGGGGGGGGAACAAAAAGCCAAATCTGACATTACACACAACTCCAAAAATGGACTGAACAAAATTATTTAATAAAACATGAGAATGCCTTAACATTTGTAATTGCATCAACGTTTTGGGCAAAGTGGTGCATTATCTGACAGAAATGCAGGGGTGCCGTGACAGCATAAGAGGTTTGTATACGTAAAAAAAAAAAAAAAAAAAAAAAAATCAGTCATCCACTTACCAAAAGAACCAACGTCTTCCCGAAATGGGACGTATGAAACGCCCAATACTGTTGCCTTCTGGGTAACTTTTCCAACAACTTCTATAATTCCAGATAATTCTTCATCCAGCTTTGAAGAAGAAAAAAAAAAAAAAAAAAGTATGGGAAATAATGTCGATTTTCAAAATAAATTGTGGTTAATATAAAATCACCTTGGAGCGTGTGCTTAAAAAGCGGAATTAATATTTTTTATATGGTAAATAAAAATTCAGTGGATAATAACTACCAGAAAAAAAGTTACATTTTTTTTGTACAATGCAGCATGACAGGGTAATGGTCAAACTATCGGCGCTGAAAACTGTCCTGGCAATTAAATGGTATATGGAGTGTGATGCAAAAAGTGGTTGTAAACCATAATATATATATACACACACACGGCTCAGTGTGTGTGTGTGTGTGTGTGTGTGTCCAGTGAAGTGACAGTCCTAAAGTGATTCACAGATGAAACAAATCCTCCTACACCAGTTGTACCAGTTTATCTGCAGTATTCTCTTCTCTACATCCACCCAAAGCCTACAATGTATACAGCTTGTCTGAGCTTTCAGAAAGTAGGGGTGGAAATCTGAAGTAAAAAAAAACTTAGTGAGGAGAGCGATTGAAAAGAAGGGACACACCCCCTTCATACAGCGGAGACTGTCATACACAGGTGTGCGCTGGAGCTCCCTCCCCGGTCACCTTTTACCTCCTGGAGTCAGGAAAACTTTTCAAAAGTGACTAATGCCAATAGCAGAGGAATGAAGCTGCAGAAAGAAATGACATTTAGTGCTCTGGACTGAGCGAAGTACACACTATAGAGGGATATGCTTAGTTCATATTTCATGTCTGAGGTGTACAACCACTGTAACAGATCGTACTCAGATCACAAGCTATGGACATCCATGTAGAAGCAGTAAAGGCCAACCCAGCGATACCAAATGACTGAAGATGAACATGTTCCCCATAACGCTGGGTACTTACTGGTTCTGATAACTCCACCGTTGTGCTCTTGCCTGCCCCATCGGACAGCACAAAGGACGTCCCTGTAGGATGGACCTGTGATGAAACAACAAATGGTTTACTTCCCCGCATTGGATCGTCTGCCGATTGTTTTGCTTTCACACATTTTACATTGGCAGGGCAGGTGGTCAGGACGCCATAACAGGGACCTGGACTCTCTGGGAGAGATCACTTATACCACAGCACATCAAGGACCTGCAGCCTTTGTCAGGTTAGTTCTGGAATACACAGTATAGGGCCCATGCTTCCTGACAACCAGCCACCGAGACTGCCCCCAATACAGGCAATGTACAAGGGGGCCTCAGGCTGCAGTCAGGAAGGGGGGGGGGGGACCGCACAGGGTACAGTAAGCGCCCACTCAAACTATCCACACATCAAACCGCAACAGTGATCGTGTGTGTGGCCAGCCTGCTGTTCCGGCTACATGGAACAGGCAGTAGAGGGCGGTGTCAGTCCCCCCCACCCCCCTCTTTTTTAACCACAAATTTGATGGAGGAAGAAGAGGTAAGAAGAAGAAGGGAGGAGGAGGGGTCCCCCCCATAAAAGAAGGGGGAGGAGGAGGGGTACTCCATGGAAGCGAGGCGTTCCCTGGTGAAAGGGAGGAAGAGGAGAGTGTTCCCTGGTGGAAGGAGGGGGGGGGGGGGTTCCCTGGTGGAAGGAGGGGGGGGGGGTTCCCTGGTGGAAGGAGGGGGGGGGGTTCCCCGGTGGAAGGGAATGAGCCGCAGACCCCCGTATAGTGTGTCACACAGCCCCGCCAGTATAGAACCCAGGACAGGGCCTCTCTGGGAATGTATAGGACGACATACAGGCAGGAGAGGGGAACCAACCTTCTCCACACGGCCCACGAAGCACACGGGCTGCCCTATGTACCGGGCCAGCATGCTGGTGTTGATCCGGGGTCTGGCCACCTCATAGATGTCCCCCCCATCGCTCTCCAACACTTTCTCTCACACTGCCTGACAGACTCTGGCGGGAACACGAAGCCTGGACCGTGATCTCCGCTGTGGCCAATCAGCAACTCTCTTAGTGTTTTGCCTCACAATATTGGACCACTCACAGCCGACTATGGCAGCCTGCCAATCAGCGAGCGCGTACTGTACAAGCGGGGAGCCAATATTCACAGCCAACTATGAGTCGCCTCGGGCCAACCACCAATCAGTGCGCATGTACGGGCGTGAAGCCATAAACGCCTTCTTTGCACCTGGCAAACAGGAGTCTGTCTTTCATAGAAATATCACAAAAGTGACGGCGGCATTTAATAGGGGAGACGTATAAGGACGGAAGGCTAGTTGGGAAATTAAAACACAAAGAGTATTTATTGTAGGAACCATAGAGATCCGGAAAGTGCGATACGGCGTTTAGGGAAGAATTTCGACGGTGGACATTCTGGGCGGGGCGCCGCAAAGGGGAAAGGTGACGTCGTGGTGGGTCATGTGAGTGAAAGTGTAGGGGCGGGGTTGTAGTCCTGATAGTACATAGTGGAGAGGAGCTGACCTACCTGGCTGGGAGGTAAGTAGGAGGTTCCGGGGGGGATTCTAGTATTTGGTACTGGTGGGGTAAATCCCGCCCCTCGGAGCTCATGAGGGGAGGAGTTACCTGTATGTGTTGTGTTCTCACAGCCATGGCAACACAGCACCCCTTCCCCCTCACACAGGTATGTGAATGTGGGGGCACCCCTCCCCCACATATATCTGTGATTATGGGGTACCGCTTAACCTTGTCGCTGCCAGGGACATCTTTGCTTTTTTTTTGTTTGTTTACAAAGATCATTTTATTTATTTATGGGCAGCACAGTGGCTAAATGGTTAGCACTTCCACCCGGCAGTATTCGGGTCGTTGGTTTGAATCTCAGCCACGGCACCTCCTGCCTGGAGTTTGCATGTTCTCCCTGTGCCTGCGTGGGTTTCCTCCGGGTATCTCCGGTTTCCTCCCACACTCCAAAGACATGCTGGTAGGTGAATGGCTCCTGTCTAAATTGTCCCTAGTATGTGTATGTATGAATGTGAGTTAGGGACCTTAGATTGTACGCCCCTTGAGGGTTAGGGACTGATGTGCATGTACAATATATATGTAAAGCGCTGTGAAAATTGATAGCTCTATATAAGTACCTGAAGTAAATAAATATTACAAGTACTTCTATAGCGCCATCAGTTGACACAGCTCTGTACATACAGTCAGGTCCATAAATATTGGGACATGGACACAATTCTAACATTTTTGGCTCTATACACCACCACAATGGATTTGAAATCAAACGAACAAGATGTGCTTTAACTGCAGACTGTCCATTTCTTTTATTTGAGGGTATTTACATCCAAATCAGGTGAACGGTGTAGGAATTACAACAGTTTGCATATGTGCCTCCCACTTGTTAAGGGACCAAAAGTAATGGGACAGAATAATAATCATAAATCCTTTGCAGTCAATTACAGCCTGAAGTCTGGAATGCATAGACATCACCAGACGCTGGGTTTCATCCCTGGTGATGCTCTGCCAGGCCTCTACTGCAAATGTCTTCAGTTCCTGCTTGTTCTTGGGCCATTTTCCCTTCAGTGTTGTCTTCAGCAAGTGAAATGCATGCTCAATCGGATTCAGGTCAGGTGATTGACTTGGCCATTGCAGAACATTCCACTTCTTTCCCTTAAAAAACTCTTTGGTTGCTTTTGCAGTATGCTTTGGGTCATTGTCCATCTGCACTGTGAAGCGTCCAATGAGTTCTGAAGCATTTGGCTGAATATGAGCAGATAATATTCCCGAAACACTTCAGAATTCATCCGGCTGCTTTTGTCAGCAGTCACATCATCAATAAATACAAGAGAACCAGTTCCATTGGCAGCCATACATGCCCACGCCATGACAATACCACCACCATGCTTCACTGATGAGGTGGTATGCTTAGGATCATGAGCAGTTCCTTCCTTCTCCATACTCTTCTCTTCCCATCACTCTGGTACAAGTTGATCTCGGTCTCATCTGTCCATAGGATGTTGTTCCAGAACTGTGAAGGCTTTTTTAGATGTCGTTTGGCAAACTCTAATCTGGCCTTCCTGTTTTTGAGGCTCACCAATGGTTTACATCTTGTGGTGAACCCTCTGTATTCACTCTGGTGAAGTCTTCTCTTGATTGGTGACTTTGACACACATACACCTACCTCCTGGAGAGTGTTCTTGATCTGGCCAACTGTTGTGAAGGGTGTTTTCTTCACCAGGGAAAGAATTCTTCGGTCATCCACCACAGTTGTTTTCCGTGGTCTTCCGGGTCTTTTGGTGTTGCTGAGCTCACCGGGGCGTTCCTTCTTTTTAAGAATGTTCCAAACAGTTGTTTTGGCCACGCCTAATGTTTTTGCTATCTCTCTGATGGGTTTGTTTTGTTTTTTCAACCTAATGATGGCTTGCTTCACTGATAGTGACAGCTCTTTGGATCTCATCTTGAGAGTTGACAGCAACAGATTCCAAATGCAAATAGCACACTTGAAATGAACTCTGGACCTTTTATCTGCTCATTGTAATTGGGATAATGAGGGAATAAACACACACCTGGCCATGGAACAGCTGAGAAGCCAATTGTCCCATTACTTTTGGTCCCTTAACAAGTAGGAGGCACATATGCAAACTGTTGTAATTCCTACACCGTTCACCTGATTTGGATGTAAATACCCTCAAATTAAAGCTGACAGTCTGCAGTTAAAGCACATCTTGTTTGTTTCATTTCAAATCCATTTTGATGGTGTATAGAGCCAAAAATGTTAGAATTGTGTCATGTCCCAATATTTATGGACCTGACTGTATATATTGTACATTCACATCAGTCTGGCCTGAAGATTACATAACCCCCAAACATGTTCTAAGAGCAGACACCCTGGAGAATAAAATAACCGTAGTTCTAACTCTGCGTGTCACACGATATCAGCGCAATGCTTCTGCAAACGCAAATTTCAATAAAAAACACGCTAAAGTTAATCTGAGGGAACACAGAGGCGATCTCTTACATATTTTTTTGTGAATTATAAAAGATGAGCTTACACCGAGTAAATCGATAACCAACACGTCAAGCTTTAACCAGTTCCCGACTGCGCTACAGCTGAAAGACGCTACACTGCGGTCAGCTAGTTCTGGGAGGGCGTCTACGGACATTCTCCAAGAACCACACCCCCTGGAGAGCGCAACGTGCGCAAGCTATGATCCCTGAGTCATTTGGACATAGCTGATCACGTGTTCAGGTAAAGGGCCAATCAGAGCTGCCTTTTACCATGTGATCAACTGTGTCCAATCATAGCTGATTACAGTGTAAGTATGAAATGCCAGTTATTGGCAGCCCTTGCCTCACGCTTACAGTGCAAGAGGAGAGACGGTAAGCGGCATTTCTCAGAGGGGGCATGTACACTGATCATCAGTGCCCTTCAGTGCTTATCAGTGCTTTGTATCAGTGCTTATCAGTGCTTTGTATCAGTGCCCATCAGTGCTTATTAGTGCTTTGTATCAGTGCTGGCTGTCAGTGCCGCTTATCAATACCCATCAGTGAAGGAGAAAAATCACTTAATTACAAAACTGTATAACAGAAACAAAGAAAAACACTTTTGTTTTTCAAAATGTTCGGTCTTTTCCAGTGCGCTGATGAGCAGAGTAGCCATATCCATGCTTTGTATCAGTGCCCATCAGTGCTTTGTATCAGTGCTGGCTGTCGGTGGCGCTTATCAATACCCATCAGTGCTGCATATCAGTGCAGCCTTATCATTGCCCAGCAGTGCCTCCTCATCAGCGCACATCAGTGAAGGAGGAAAATCACTTATTTACAAAACTGTATAAGAGAAACGAAGAAAAACTTTTTTTTTTCAAAATGTTCCGTCTTTTCCAGTGCCCTGATGAGCAGTGTAGCCGTATCTGTGCTTTGTATCAGTGCCCATCAGTGCTTTGTTTCATTTGTTTAGCAAAAAATAAATCCCCCAGCGGTGATTAAATACAACCTAAAGAAAGCTCTATCTATCTCAAAAAAATGATAAAAATTTAGTTTGGATACAATGTTGCATGAATGTGTAATTACCATCCAAGGTGCGAAAGCGCTGAAAGCTGAAAATCGGCCTGAGCAGGAAGGGGGTGAAAGCGTCCAGTAGGCAAGTGGTTAAAATTGCGAGCGCCCTGGAAACTGCGACAAACTCCAAGGACTGAGTGGTGTATGGAGGGACTAGTGGTTTCCACGGTAACAGCTGCTCCCTTTAGGAACATTGCCTGTAGCAGCCTCTTTATTTTACATGTTTATCCAACATGGGCCGTTTTCCTGCAACACTTTACAGTAAACACATCAGTGCCCGCCATCAGAGGGTCTAATCCGATGTCCCCGGCCTGGAGAGGAATGGAAGATGGCTGACAGTGATGACATTTGATACATTCCCAATATTCCTGCTGAGGGCCCGCTGGCTCTATGCTGCATACATCCCATTCTCACTGTGTGCATCCATGGGGTTTCATTAACCAGTTTGGCGCCAGAACAATTTTTTAAACTTTTTGCACACATGTAAAAATCCTAATATGTGGCAATAAAATGAATTAAACCCCCAGAATATTATATAATTTTTGAAAGCAGAGGCAATAAGAGGAATAAAAAGGTGATGGTTGCAAATTTTTATGTCATATGATACTTGTGCAACTGCCTTTTAAATGTAAGTTTTCAGAAACTACAATTATAAGAAAATTAATTTTAGTGCAAAAAGATACAATAGAATACCAATTTTTGGTTAAAATATAAAATATGAGTTTGCATCGAGTAGCTAGATACCAAACATTCCATGTCTTAAAATTGCGCCTGCAATATCGCCAAAAACAACTGTGCCCAAAAAAATCACTATAGGTGACGCTTTAAAAGCCTTTACAGCTCATCAGTTTGGAGTGAACTAGGAGCTCTTGTGCTAGAATTATTGTTCTCATTCT